GCTAATAGAAAATTTTGTATAAAAATATAGACTAACTTATGAGGATGATATTTTTCAATTGTAGTGAAACAGTACTCTAGATTGATTTTATTTAAACATACACACTTAAAAAATGAGAAAGAAGAGAAAATTTACAACCACATATTATATGTATTTATATACCTAACGTTCAAATTTGTATATTTACATTTATAATATTTTTGGTGTGAAGAATTTACACATGAAAGTGTATCTAATTTATAAAAGATAAATGATACTGGCATTTTTAATATGATGTAAATATTTGGATCCTATGTTCGCAACTATGAAAAGGTATAGGTGTGAGATATATGAATACGTGAAAAATGTCCACTATATATGTAATCAACCTAAGAATTCTTAGACAATTAAAGGGCTTTATTTGTCGTCGCCCTATGACAATTACAAAATAATATTAATGCTCAATGTCAATCACAATAAACATCAACACCAATCATGCATGCAATCTTCCATGCTATTAGACACAACAACATCAACCACCTTCTAATGCCTAAATTTCAAGGACAACCAACAATCAACATCTCCGACCATCGAACGATGCTAAATTTCACCATTACTCGTCCAGTAAGGGTGCTCGTTCTCCAACATCAATAATAACAACATTATCGATCGAATCTTATGTTCATTGTTGTCCACCATCCACCCAGTAGCTCTATCACCATATTGAGAGAGAGGAGATCTTTTATAGTAAAAAGCTCTTGTATAGTAAAAAGCTTGTAACCACACATTCTTCATACATCATCTATAATTTAAACATTGTGATGAAAATGAGCCTCTTTGTAACCCTCCGCCTACATATTGTAACAATTGAACAGATGTAAAACTTCAATCCAAATTGATGCCCTATTCTTCCACTTTACCAATCTTCCATCAAACTTCAACTAAATCTGCCAAATAGAAGGGAGAAAATTGAAATATCAAAATATGTAAATAAGCAACCCCAAATCATTGAATCAACCAATCAATGCTAATATTCTTCGGCATTCCGACACCTCCTGCATTTTCAGCATCAATGGCATACCATAACAACCTCACTTAAGCGCACAAAACTCCAAAAATCTATTCACCCATGGCATCTCCATATTTTTCTTTTAGCATAGCCAAAAGTGCGGGCGAAAATTAAACTCAAGAGTCACGGCGATGACCTTCAAAAGAGAAGCTTTTTTTCGTAGAAACATCTTTAGTGATCTATAACTCGACCACCACAGAATGAAAATTCTTATCTCCTACAGGCATGCTCTCTAAATCCAATGTTATGAGACCAGTCGTAGCATCGTAGGCGAAGTCGACGAGTTCGCCGCCTAGTGAGCATTTCTTAGGCTCGACTGAAGAGTAAGCTCCCAGTTTTCCACAGCCCTTCACTTCCATCCAAACTCTCCCTATAACATAGTTCCTACTTTCTTTCTGAATAAAAGCATCATTTAGCTGATCCATAAGCCTGGAATCCACCTCCAACTCCAACGACTTAGCACCACCACCCAAAACTTCATATTTTAGCCCATCTACTGCACCACCAGCATTGAACATGTCCAACAAACCAAGAGGAGCAAACCTGAATCCAGGCGCCATAACCTGCATTTCAAAACATTCCAAGTCAGAAAAAAAACAGAAGGCAAAATTTACATACCTAGCACAAAATTCTAATATATTTACATATCTCACACCTATAGTTTCATATTTACAAATACAGCGCCTTAGTGCTTTAAACGTATCCCTGAAAAAATGCATTTCAATATTAAAAAGTGATAGATTTGTGTGCTGTGTGTAAATATAAAAGTCTAGGCGTGAGATATGTAAATACATGATGCAGAATCGTTCTACAAACCCGGATTGGAGAGACAGTGAATATTTCATGCTCGAGAACATTGAGAGAAAGAGACAGAGATGCGTTCTGCAGTAGTAGAATAAGCTCGCCCGTGGTATGACGGTAGACAACGGAATCGCCATTCCAGTTTGCATCTACTGCAGCCTCGGAAATAAGGTGGATGTCGCTTCCCTGGATGATGGAGGTCAGCGTCATCGAGTTTGTGGAGTGGAATGTGTTCTTCTTCTCGGTAGAGCTCCAGGCCGCGCCTTGGCAGTTGTAGATCCCGAGCACACCGGTGAACTTGTTCATATTCCAGATCTTCAGGAGTGTTACGTTGTCACGAGCGGGGTCGGTGAAGAGGCAGTCCAATGTGGGACGGCCGGGCAGACGGGCACGAAGGATGGATCCATCAGGCAGGACCAATTTTTTCAGGAGCTCAAAGTTGTGTTTACCAGGAGCATCACTGTTCCATTCCAATTAAGTTTAGGACTGGAATTCAAGTAAACTTGAATGTACACAAGGATAATTAATACTTGCCAGCAATAGTTTTGATTTTAGTTTCATTTCCAGATTCAAATTTCTTTATATGTATGAAGAATTGATTAGCAATTATCCAGGTATATCTTAAGTACTAAAGGGAATTCTGGATGAAAATACAATTTCATTAGTTTCAATATATTTTGGGTTAGAACTTACAATTTCATAAGTTTCCAATAAATTTCATACTTTTTTAGGGGCAATTGTGTACATAATGCCAAGATCTATCATATCACACAAAAACTATCACTATTTTAACTTTTAAAAAGTGAAATACATCCCTATCATATCACACAAAAAATATCACTATTTTAACTTTTAAAAAGTGAA